GGTCCTTATGTTATGATTAGTTTTCATAGCTTCAGGAATTTAAGAGGACAGATGGTACATTTTTATGCACACCAAGAAAACCAGATAACTGGCTTAGTCCAATTTAAACTGATTTATTAATATTGATGTAAACCTGGGAACTAAGGCTACATTCACACTGCAATCAAATCCAATTTTATATATATAAAATTGGATTTGATTGCAGTGAAAAAAAAAAAAAAAAAAAAAAAGATAATCTGTGGAATATTAGCTCAATTGAAAAATATCTACTGGGTCCACCAAGCCTCTGAAGTTCCATCCTAATGGTGTCCATAAGGCTATGGCTGAAAAATCAGTTTTACTCAAATAACTTAAAAAATTATGCATTTAGGGCTAAGGTGTCACTGAAGGTTAAATATAATAAATATGTTGCTATTCTGCATCTTTTGGTACCAATTTTATCTCTCTAGCTTCATAACTTTCTAATATATGACAATTTTATCAAGATTTTGAGTGTTTGTTTTTTTTTGTTTGTTTGTTTTCATAATCATCCAATATCCACAAAGGCCAAAGATAAAATGAGAGACATAAAGTTTGTACTCTTTTTGTAGTGATCATAGACTACATAAAAAAAGTGTCGTAAGCGAGTGTGACGTCACCCATAGCGTTCCAATGACAGGTATGGCTCAGGGTTTGCTAAACCCAACTTTCCAGAAAGGATAACCCAGGAGACAATACGGGCAGACCTGGTGGGACCTGATTCATGGTACATCTTTCATCTTCTACTGCTGTTTTCCTCATAGCTGGTGTTTCAACCTAGCCAGGCTAGCGCCACCTAGTGCCTCTGCTCAATTTCTTTTCTCTCCAGTAACTAGGTCAGGAATCGGAATACACTAGACAGTTTGTAAGAACCCCAGAAGTTGCAGACTGTGCGATAACCAATCAGTGAAGAGCCATACATTCTGTGTTGGCAACGATTCCCGAGATCGAGGAGATTGAAAACAAAGAAAATGTTTGGTGAATTTAATCAAAGGGAAAGACGTTATTTCCCTTCTTCCTACGGGATTTGGGAAAAGCTTAATATACCACTTAGCCCCGTTAGGAGCACATTATATACGTCACGACCAAATAGCAGCAATTGGTTGAATAAAAAAAGTACCTGCTACCATCGACCGAACCACTCCTAATGCTGTGAGGTCACCAAAATCACCAAACCTCACCAAATCAACCAGGAAGCCCTGTTCACCTTGGACTGCATGAACGTTATAAATGACAGCGCAGAGCGCAATGTCAAGCTCAGCAAGTTCAGCTCAGCTCACTGGCTCTGCTAGTGGAGAAGAACATTATCAAAATGTTCTGCAGGTGGTTGAACCATACAGAATGGAAACACCATACCTGAGAAAGAGAAAGATATAGACAGTGTGATTAATGTGTATATATTAAGAATTGTTAAATAGTTTCTTTCTTGCAGTTTCTGCAGTGATGTGATCGCTGTATCGAACCGTTGTGGTGAAGAGGAAACTGAGCCGAAAGGCAAATCAAATTCATTTACTGGTCATTCTACGTTCCTCCCCTCACTTATGGTCATGAGCTCTGGGTAATGACTGAAAGGACGAGGTCGCTGATACAAGCGGCCGAAAAAAGTTTCCTCCGCAGGATGGCTGGGTACTTCTTTAGAGATATAGTGAGAAGCTCAATAACACACGAGAGGCTCTGTCATCTGTTCAGAATGCCTCCTGGGCGTCTCCCTCAGGAGGTGTTCTGGGCATGTTCCACTGGAAGGAGGCCCCGGGAAAGACCTAGGACATACTGGAGGGACTATGTCTCTCGGCTGGACTGTGAACGCCTTGGGGTCCCTTTAGAGGAGCTGTAGGAAGTGTCTGGGATGAAAGACGTTTGGGAGTCATTGCTTAGACTGCTGCCCCCACAACCCGGCCCCAGATAAGCGGAAGAAAATGCATGGATGGATGGAGTTCCTTATTGTTGCTTTGACAAGAAGGTTACAGTGTAATACGTCAGATAATGGACAGTCATAATATAATAATTCCTGTACTGTATTGACTAAATTACTTTTCACAATTTCAAGTCTTTGAGTTCTAAATTTGTTAATTTCAAGTTATGTAATGCGTTGTAGGCCCTACATTTGTTACAATTCAGAACCTATTGGTTATTCAAAGTCCTTGAAGCACCAAAGAAATGACACTTTTGCCATATCTCAGAAACTAATGATTATAGAGACATAACTGGTACCAAATGATTTGCAATGTCCATATTTCTATTCAACTTCCATTTATACTATAGGGCTAAATTAATTATTTCTGATGTTATTAAAGAAAAACTGATTTTTCAGCTCAGATTTAAGGCTTCAGCAGGCACAAAACTTCAGAGGCTTGGTGGACCCAGTAGACATCAATAGAATTTCATAAAATTTCTCATGGAACATTACTTTGGCAAGTGCAAAAAATATACTAGGTACAGATTGAGGCCTGGAAGCCTGAGAGTTCTGCGCAGTATCTTTGCTGTTCCCAGTACTGCACTTTTCTGGACTGAGATGTTCGTTGTTTTTCCCGGTATCTGTTGTAGCCACTCGTCCAGTTTAGGGGTTACGGCCCCAAGTGCTCTGATCACCACAGGCACCACTGATGCCTTCACTTTCCAGGCTTTCTCCAGCTGCTCCTTGAGCCCCTGGTATTTTTGTAGTTTCTCGTGTTCCTTTTTCCTGATATTACCATCGCTTGGTGTCCACCAACATGCCTGTGCTTTGTTTCTTATCCACCACCACTATGTCTATATATATGTGTGTGTGTGTGTGTGTGTGTGTATACACACACACACAGATATATATATATATACATACATACATACACACACACTTTTTTTTCCAAATCAGATTTTTTTTTTTTTACAGATTTGTCCATGTCAGTCAACTGATAAGCTCAATTGTAATTTTTTTCAAATTCGACCCAGGCCTCAATCGTATCTGAACTGACTGCAGTCTGAAAGCTCATGTCACATTCATGCGACCTAGATGCCATCTATGGTGGGCTTAACACCGTGCGTAAGCACCTGTTGCCTGCCGGTACAGTCCAACAGTACACGCCCACACATGATGTGTTTTCATGCACTGTCTGGATGCCTCCCCATGTGTTCACTCCCCACGGCAGAGTGCAACCCTCCCCTCTTCCGCTCCCTGTATGGGCTTAATGCTGCTCTACATTATATTTTGATCTGTATCTGTATAAAAGAATAATCGCAGGAGGCTGTTTACCGTGAGGCTGTTTACCGTGAGGTCCTAAAGTGTGTTTTCTTACCCTGTTTGCGGATTTCCTCAGATCCTCATGCTCTTTCTGTCATTGACTCCATTTCATTTCGTGACAATAATACACTGTGTGCACAATTAGGCTAATGGGTATTTTGACCATATCATGATTTTTATGCATATTCTCCAATTCTAAGCTGTATAAACTGAACTTTTTATTGGATTAAAGCATATCAATTGATGTGTATTTTATGTAATTAGGGAGGCTGTGGCCTAAGTAGGTAAAGACCCTATATCAAGGTGTGCCAGAATTATTTGGCAGCTTCTTTTCCTCAAGCAAATTGGGTTAAAAAAGAGAGAGACAGAGTCAAACAGAGTCTGAAAAATCAAACATTGTAAAAAGTCTTTAAGAAGGATGCAGAACTCTTGAAATTGAAAAAAAAGACATTGGGGAATGATCACAGAACCATCAATTTTTTTGCTGCAAAGAGTCAACAGTGTCACAAGAAAGGTGTAGAGAAAAAAAAGAAGCAAGACTTCCAAGAGATTTAAGGAGAATCAAACATGAAGCTACCAGGACCCACTCAATCTCCAGGCTGTCATATTCCAGAACTGCAACCTACCTGGAGTGCCCAGAAGTACTAGGTGTTGAGTGTACAGAGACATGGTCAAGCTAAGAAAGGCTGAGCCTTTTTCAAAGGTTTTATGGACTGATGACATGAGAGTGACTCTTGATGGACAATATGGAAGGGCCCGTGGCTGGATCAGTAATGGGCACAGAGCTCCACTTCGACTCAGACGCCAGCAAGGTAGTATGAGCTGGTATTATTAAAGATGACCTTGTGGGACCATTTCAGGTTGAAGAAGTCTGCATCTTTCAAGGGGACCATTATTTTTTATGCAGAACAATACTCCACTGCATACATCAAAGTACTCCACTGCGTGGTTAGCCAGTAAAGGCCTTAAAGATGAAAAGATAAAGACATGGCCTCCTTCCTCAACTTGTGGGCTCTTCTTAAATGGGAGATTTATGGTGAAGGCAAACAGTACCTGGACCCCAGGAAGAGTAGATGGTGTCACAGACATCAGCTAATGGGGATCCAAATAAAATAAAATCAAAACGTACACCTTTCTGACCAGTGTCTGGTCAGAGAGGTGTACTTCCATCTATGATTTCTTGTGCTATTTTACAAGTGGATCTATTCTGGTAGGGGACTCACATTTTGGATTTCTTTTTTTTTTTCAGCTCTGCAGAACTGTGACATTTGTGAGTTTGTTACCTGCCAGTAGCATGTATAAATGTATAGATCTGATATTTTGAAAACAATAAAAACATTTTGATTAAAAAAAAAAAACATGTAAGAGAGTTTGTACATTTGAAGCCCAAAACTTTTAAGTAAGGCTTCCTGGTGTCTGTCCAGTCCACCCAAGCATACAGTCCACTGCTTGACTGTAGTGATGAATGGTGGGACAAGACACACTCTCAGGCTGCAAAAGTGTGATCACACTCAATTCATCACACAGGGACACATTATTACTCGTCCAACATTCATCTTCAGGGCATGGCACAAAGGGCTCTTGGCTTCACATGCACATGCCACTTGTTCTTGAGCTGAGGAGCTGGGGAAACCCTCTGCGCATCAATGATGATTTATGAAACTTGAGATATGTTTAACACAAGAACAGAGAGGCCATTTAAGGCAGGCTGGTAGAAAATGTATGTTGTGATTGTGCTCATGCTGTTGTGTTGTTGTGTCCTCAGCTTCTCCCACTGTGCCACCACTACACTCAGAGCACTTCAAACCATGCCATGAGAAGGACTTGGCCTACTGCCTGAACGGAGGAGAGTGCTTTGTCATCGAGACTCTGAGCGGACCACACAAGCACTGCAAGTAAGAGCTGCCACCCTCAGCATGTCCATATCCAATCTAACATTTATTTATATATGACCATCATCTACTTCTAAAAACTGACCCCTCTAGAATCCCCTTTTTTCTTAGACCAGTTGGGCTGTGGTGTGCTGTTGCACACAGTCTATTCTGTTTTCTGCAGCATTATTTTGTCCATTTAAATTTTTATGTGTGTCTCAACTTTTAACCAGCTGGGGGCGCTATGATTATGATTATGACATTTGTCACATGACTAATCCAATATGGCAGACTTCCAGTTTGGGAGGGAGCATGGTCACAATATACTTTTTTGTCCCTAGTCCCATGATGCATCTGTGTACCAAATTTGGTTTGATTACTCCAAAGTTTTTGTTGGGCATTCTACTGGTGAGGACAGATGTTTGGGCTGTTGCCATGGCAACACAATGGGAAATGGTGTGTGGGTGTCACTGACTTTTTTGATTGAGACCATGTCATGAAATTTATATGTCTACAACAAAGTAAATTTTTGGTGTTCCATGCAGTTTCTTATATCAATCTGTTCAGGGTCAGGGTGTCCACCAATGATTAAATTTTGAGTGAAATCGGCCAAACTTTGTGCGAATTATCACTCGTCAAAGTTTAATGGTGAGCCGCAAAAACAAACCCGAAATTTGTACTGTTGTTACGGCAATACCTTTTGATCTTTTAAAAAGCTTTTAACAACTTTTAATGTCTGACTTGTCTAGATCAGGGGTGCTCACACTTTTTCAGCATGCGAGCTACTTACAAAATGACCAAGTCAAAATGATCTACCTAATACAAAGCTAAGCAAACTGCACTGAAACAATCTGTGCCCCTTTTTTGGGCCCTCACCCACAATTTGAGAACCCTTCTTTAAGAGAACTTCCTCTGGCACTTTACACAAAACTGTGAAAAAAGTGAAGGAAGTAGGTAAGATTTTTAAACTTGTTTTTTAAAGTTCCAAACTGGAGTTGCATTCTTTTCTGGTTTTGCTGTGATATTTACCAGCCTCTGCACATTTACCAAACCAAACGCACATTGTGACAAACACAGATGCATTTGTGCACTTTTGTTAGGCAAACTTCAGCCAAATGTGGCAGTAGGTCGGTTCTGTAGATCTGTTCTATGCTGTAGACCTGCTTTGTGCCAACACTGTAACACAAATTTAGACTCGTTTTTGCTTCACGTTTCGTCTTGCTCTTCTAATCAGCGCGTACTGTGGGAGGGGCTTGTTTTCGCTGTATGCAGGAACGAGCGAGAGCATGAAAAGGCGAGGGGCTGACGTGAGGCAGATGGACAGGTAGGATGTTTTTGGAAGTTTAACCTCGTCGAGCTCGTGCATAGGGAGCGTGTGTATTTGTGATGTGCCGTAGAGTCTCCACGGGTTTCAAATGAGCGCATAGGCTGCACTGAGACGCCCCACACACTCCTGCACCCCGGTACAAGTTTATAGCTAAGAGCAGCGGCCATAATGAAATATGATCGCACTTGTTGAGTGTCAGACCTTGAGTGAGAGACAAGACCGAGTCCAAACACGAGTCCGAGACGAGTACTAAGACACGGCGATCTACCCACACGACCTTGGCGATAGACTGTTAGATCGCAGTTGACATATTGAGCACCCCTGGTCTAGATGGTACAAAATGATTCTGGTGAGGATGGGTCAAACACCCTAGGACGAGTTCATTCATATACGAGGACAGGAAATTGCGCCTTTGGCGCCGAGTCCAATATGGCCAACTTCCTGTTGTGTAATATATTTTCCTGTTTGGAATGACAAGACCTATCCACCACCGGAATTTCGTTTGTCTACGACAAAGTTCATTCTTCAGGTATAGCCATAGGTAGGGTGACCATATTTCCGTTTGTGAAAACCCGGACACCTTGGGGGCTCGACATTGAGCTACAGTTGTCCCTCACTTTTTGCAGTCTCACTGTTTCTCAGATTTTTTGTGTGCAATTTTGCATGCTTTTTTTTTTTTTTTTTTTTTACAGCGTATGAACGTGTATTGTGTATTACAGGCGGGTAGTAATTACACACGGGTGGGTCAGGACTAAACCAGGTCTAAACCAGGACTAATCTTGGACTTAAGAGAGAGAACGCCGAGCAGTTTTTCCTCAAAGCGCGATCGGGCAATTGCCGCGTTTACCTCCATGAGGTGCGGAGCTGAGCCGTTCCTTTCTCCTGCGGTCACCTCCAAGCCTGTCATGACGGTGAGTCTTGTTTCAGTTCTGGTTTAGGCTTAGTTCAGTCCATGTCATAGGCAGCGCAAAAGATTGATATAATCTCAGGTTAATGGGCAGGTGCGGTGTTGTACTGTGCGGATGCAGTGTTGCACTGCAGGTCTCCAAAAATGGAGCGGTGCAGGACTCTGTGCTATAGGCTCCATTACGGAATAAATGAATCTTCAGTTCATTACATAAAGAAGGAGGAAAATAACAAAAGGACAACAGCAGCAAAAAGTTTTAAGAAGGAAATAAAAAGGGTTGCACTTGTCCTGTCTGAAAAAAGTGTATAAAGTGTGTGCTGAGGGCTTTTACAGCCTTAAAACAGATATAATAATTATAAAATATAAAGTTGACTACTTCTTGGATTTCACCTATTGCGGGTTATTTAGAACGTAACCCCCGTGATAAACGAGGGACACTGTACTCTCACCTCGCAACCTGTGCACATGGCCTCCCACTTGTCCTGACCGGGATGGATAACGGAAAATTTCTTGTACAAGTCATTGTTAAATGCGCATTTGCCCTTCGGCATGTTGCAGACTGACAGACTATTTGTGTCTCGCTCCTTCTGAGTCACAGAGAACTACGAGAGACGATCAGTTTAATGCCCCCAATGAAGGGTACTGAAAACCCGGACATTTGCATCACTTTATAAAAAAAACCCGGACGCCCAGGCCAGGACACAAAATACGGACATATCCGGGGAAAAACGGACGTTTGGTCACCGTAGCCATAGGCGCAGTGTATTTTGATTTTGCAGGGGGCGCTGTCACGCCACGAGTTTTTTTGATGTGGAGGATTTGTAAATTCCTATTTTGGCATTCTTGAATTTTGTGCAAAAGTCATACACAAGTCAAGACAGGTCGTCGAACTGTACCCAGATGATTAGAAAAATAATAATAAATATATAAATATAGCCGCAAGCGGCAATGATCGGCCCTTATGTGCGCCTATGCCGCTCCCTGCAAACGCCGCACCCAGCAAACACTATGCCCTGCAAAACGCTGTGCCTCACATTGACCCTAATAACCTTAACCCTAACTCTTAACCTAACCCATTCATTTTTCAAAATTTTTGCATGTGTTTACTGAAAAAAAAAATCCAAGATGGCCGACTTCCGGTTTGTAAAGGGGCGTGGTCACAATATACATTTTTGTTTTTATTGCCATGATTCATCTGGCTACCAAATTTGGTTTGCCTATGCCAAAGTTTGTGTAAGGACGTCCTATTGGCAAGGACAGAAATTTGAGAAATTTGTTGCCATGGCAACACAATGTAACAGGGGTGTGGGCATCATTGAGTTTTTATTGAGATCATGTCATGAATGTGGATACCAAATTTTGTGTATCTATGACAAATAAAATTTCCATACAAATTTTCTAGGGGGCGCTATTGCACCCACTTTTCTTACATCAGTCTGTTCAGGGTCAGGGTGTAAAATCTGAGGGAAACTGGACAAAGTTTGTGCCAAAATTTGTCAATTTTACCAGTGCAATAACATGGAGAGTTTATGTCATCGCTATGGCAACACCATAAAAAAAACTGACTTTTGGATCAGGATGCCAAAATGGAATTTTGTGCAAAATTTCAGAAATTTTTGAACAAGTATTTGGGAACAAATGATTTTCTTCCATATTAAATTTTGTTTCAATCTATAGGGGGCGCTAATGCACAAAATTTATCATTTTTACATTAAGTAGCTTTAGGGCAGAGAGTTTAACAACTGTTCAAATTTCTTTGAAATCAGAGTTCGTTTGAGCAAATGAGAGCAATTTGTAAATCTCCAAAATTGTGTGCATTGTTTGTTGCTTCACTGTTCAGAGACTGTAAGATGTGTGTGAACAATTTGGATAACTTTTGATTTTCCAAGTCTTGAGATAATGTGGACCAAATTTGAGCTCGTTCAGGTGAACGCCCAAATTTTAAGCCAATATTGCTGCCCCTAGTGGAGCGCACGGTGTTGGCGTAATAATATTTTTTTCCTTGTCTTGACATGATCAACTTCTGTGTCAAATGTCATGATTGTACGTGCAAGCTTTTTTTGCCCTTATTCGTATTCCCTAATGCATTTTTTGGGGGGCGCTGACGGAAATGGAAATAGCCAAAATTTAGAGAAGTGCGAGTTTTACCAGATGTAAAAATTAGGGGTGTCAAATTATCGCGTTAATTGCGATTAATTAATTACAGTCATATTTAGCGCGTTATGTTTTTTAATCATGTTAATCTAATTTTTAATCTCTAACTTTACTGTTTCTGTATGCGAGTTGCCTTATTATAAAATCTGTTTTTATGTGTTGTTGGGACATTGCTTCCGCAACGAATTATAATTTTCATTCCCGTTCTCACCCGCATCTGCGATAAACCTGCGATCCTTGAAAACAGTGAGTGCGTACACATGCACATCAGTATCCTGGTTATGTCAGTATTCAGGTTACTGTGTATACATGCGCACTGAGAAACTGGGACACTCATACCCAGTATACATGATCAAATGTAGTATCCCGGTTTCTTGACATAATCTTACAAATGCTCAAGCGCAAAAATTAATTTACATCAGTTTAATAAACCAGGAAAAATACAAACCATGAGCTCCTTTAGCAGAGGAAGCTCACGAGGTTTAACCAGCAGTAAGGAGCTATGAGATATCTCACAATTAAATCCCACATTTAAATCTTCTGCATAAATAAACTCAACTTTACAACATAACCAACAAACCATAACAACTATAGAGCCACATCAGCCCATTTGATCACATAATTCAGCTTTGATCACATTTGTTCATGCTTTACAGAAACAAAACTTAAAACTCATTTGCATAAACTGTTAACAACGATAAAAACAGCTCGCTCCTTGTACCGCTGATGCGATCAGCTTCTTTTGGACTAAAGGACAGGACTGAGTGGATTATGTGTGTTCTTTTTGTGACAGAAGAGGTGCTAATGATGGTGTGTTCAGTGTGTATATCATATAGGAGATAGTTCATGTTTTAGCTTTTCAGTGATCATATGCGTGCAAGTCATATGAGTGCACATTGTACATGTGCAGGTTTAACATAGCTCTTTATTTTACAGTTATTTCACTCATGTATGGTCACTTTATTTATGTTGGTCACTTAATTTATGTCACTACTGATGCGGTGAAAAGACTATATTACTATACTACTATACCCGGGATACTGAAACCGGGGTACTGCGTATACATGCACCATGAAGAACCCGATCATAACCGGTTACTGATGTGCATGTATATGTGGTTATGTTTATATGTTGTAAAGTTGAGTTTATTTATGCAGATTAGTAATAGTAATAATAATGATGATACTGTGGAATGTAAGTGACTGCATCTGTTAAAGTTTGTTAAACAATAAATGATTTTATAAAGTCAGTTTTTTTTTGTTCTATATTAGTCTTTTGATCTGCCACAATAATGTAATAATGAATTTAAATGAAAATACCTCAAGTTGAGAGCTTTTCTTAGCAATCTTTAGGTGAGATTAAAAAGACATTAATTAGATTAATTAATTACAGATCATAATTAATTAATCTCTCAATTTTTATCACTTGACAGCACTAGTAAAAATTTCAGGACTTTTTGTCGTTGTTCAGTGGGTGAAAAATGGGTGAGTTGGTTAGGAGAAAAATAAGAAGAAAGAAGAAAGAAGAATATTCTGATACGAGAACAATGTTCCGCTTTTTTTGGCCGACAAACTATACATTTTTGGAAACCTCTGGTGCATTGCTACTCATGGCGAGGGTCCCTGGTCACTACGGGCGAGTCACGTCACGCCATTCAATTTTTTCGCCAGTAGGAGCATCGCTTTGCGATACTAATAGGCCCTTCACCAGCCTCTGGCACTCGGGCCTAATAAGCGCCAGCCTCTGGTGCTATTGCATCCATTTTAGATTTTATAATATAAATCTGTTCAGGGTCGGGGTGTCCACCAACGATTAAAATTTGAGTGAAATCGGCCAAAGTTTGTGCAAATGATCAGGCATCGAAGTTTGATGGTGAGCTCCACAAACTAACCTGAAATTCGCACCGTTGCCTTGGCAACACCATTTGAACTTTTAAAAAGCTTTTAACAACTTTTAATGTACCACTTGTCTAGATGATAAAGAATGATTCTGGTGAGTCTGGGTCAAACGCCCTAGGACGAGTTCGTACAAGTACTAGGACAGGAAATTACACCTTTCGTGCCAGGTCGCACAATCAATCCAATATGGCCGACTTCCTGTTGGTTGCCTAGCAGCCGCGTAATATACTTTTTTTATTCGTATTCCCATGATGCATCTGTGTACCAAATTTGGTTTGGTTATGCCAAAGTTTTTGTTGGGTGTCCTATTGGCGAAGACCGATGTTTGGCCTGTTACCATGGCAACACGATGGGAAATGGCATGGCGTCATCATTGACCTTTTTGATCAAGACCATGTCATGAATCTGTGTACCAAATTTTATATGTCTATGACAAAGTACATTTTTGCACTGTCGTGCAATTTCCCTAGGGGGCGCTATTGCGCCCATTTGAGATTTTCTTATATAAATCTGTTCAGGGTCGAGGTGTCAACCAACGATTAAAATTTGAGTGAAATCGGCCAAAGTTTGTGCCAGAATTTGTAGATTTTAACAATGGAATAACATGGAGAGTTTATGTCATCACTATGGCAACGCCATAAAAAATATGACATGGGTGTCATTGACTTTTGGATCAGGATGCCAAAATGGAATTTTGTGCAAAATTTCTGAAATTTTTGAACAACTATTTGGGAACAAAATTCTTCCATATTAAATTTAGTTTCAATCTATAGGGGGCACTAATGTGCCAAATTAATAATTTTCACATTGAGTAGCTTAAAGGGACAGTTCGGATTTGTTGACATAAATCTGTATGTCATCCCCGTGTGCAGTGTCGTGCATCACACTGACTTACCCCCAACAGCGTCTGGTGAGCCGAAATACTGGCTGTTTTCGGTGCTGATGAAAGTAGTCCGGCAAGTTGGCTGGGGACAGTAAAATAAAGCGTTTTTCTTCTCAAAACAATATGTGTTCAAAAGAATTTGCATCACAAAACCATCGTCGAATAAAAAGTCAGACCTCATAATCACTTGGCACTATTTTCTTTCCATTCGTATCACTGCGCGCTGCCGCCAGGTGACAGCCGCGCCTGGTTCACTTTGTTTACTGCTCAGAATGTTAGCGGCAGACAATAAAGACTTTGCCTTTATCACAAAGCTAAGGGGAAATCTTTGTGAACCCAAATACACTGATGCCGAAATTCGCCAAATGGAGTTAGAACGGGCAGAGAGAGAAGAGAGACAGAAGTGGTACAAGTTGAAGATGGAGCCACAGCTGGAGCCGTGAGAGACAGAGTGAGCCACAATCACCATCACGTCATTTAGAAACTCAAATACAGCGAACATAGAGCCTATACTGTGACTGAAGCATGGACTACTAATAGAAACATGGAATCATTCACACGTCCATGTATAGCTGCTGCCAAGTGTAGCTGCCAGTGTAAGCAACAATAGTAATAACAGTCGTTATGTTTTGTAGAAGCTTCACTGGTGACACTGAGTGATTTACAGCACACAGCGTTACAGCTGATTCTTGAGCCTGTCTGCTTGTAAATATAGCGGCACCTCTTTGTTTTTACCTGGTTTGGTTTCCACGTTGAAGCCAAAGGCAAGAAGCCACAGTTGCCTCAGCGCAAAATCCGTGACAGGAAAACTGCGGAATGTGTGTGGAGATTCAGCCAGATTTTTGTTCTTACAGCCTGGATAATCAAGAGTCTGCACTATTTTTTACATATATATATTCTTATGTATCTTATACAAGCTTATATAATTATCACTCTAGCTCTCACATTAGCTCTCTCGCGTTGCGGCGGTCTGCGCATGTAAACACTGCCGAACAACTGAAGAAAGTGATGGATCCATGTGCGGCTGTCACCTGGCGGCAGCGCGGAGTGATACAAACGGAAAGAAAATAGTGCCAAGTGATTATGAGTTCTGACTTTTTATTCGACGATGGTTTTGTGATGCAAATGTATCACTCTTTTGAACACAGATTGTTTTGAGAAGAAAAACGCTTTATTTTACAGTACCCAACCAACTTCCCTGACTACTTTCATCAGCACCGAAAATGGCCAGTATCTCGGCTCACCGGGCGCTTTCGGGGGTAAGTCAGTGTGGATGCACAACACTGCTCACGGGGATGTCATACAGATTCCCCACGTCACCATGGGGTCAGTGGTGAGTGACGGGCGTGTCTGCACCATCTCGTCGGGGTTGCCCCCTGACCTCTCAATGACATCCATTCATTTTAGCAGTAGTAAATATGGCTCAGGCCTTGGGCGTGGGTTACTGGGAGATTGATGTTCGTGCCGGGGGCGACCGAGGACAAAGTTGCATGTCGTCCTGTCGCATTCACCCATGCGCTTGTCGCTCCCCATTCGCTCCTCGTAGCGAAAGCAACAGGCCCTATGCCCTGTCGGGGCTCGGGCCTAATAAAAACTTGTACAATCACACACACAGAGATCCCAGTAGATCTGACATTGTCTACCCAAGCTTTTCCACAGAGACCGAGGTTTCTGGGTGGATTTTCTATTGGAACATGTGTGATTCAGTTTTAAAGATGAAAAGAAGTCAGAAAAATAGGTTCTCTCCCTGCCAGTTTAAACAAACTTTGCTCAGCTGAGTGGATTCTAAACCTGAGGCCAGATGCTTGTTTCCAGTGTAAGTGTCAAAAGGACCATGAATCTGAAATGTAAAGTCAGAAGGATTTATAGAGTATCACATACGTAAAGCTACAACGTAGCTAAGCAAAAGAGAAAAGTATAGCTAAGGGATTTCCAGAAAGGTATGGGGGAAAGCCCTAAGATGTGTGTGTTTACAGTTTTTATAATAGTGTGCATCAGTAGGTGTGTGTGTGTGTGCGTGCGCGTGCGTGTGTGGGTACAACAGCAACAGCAGGACCACTACAACTCATTGAACTCACCCTTTCTTGACTTTAATCAACAATGTGTGTGCGCCTTACTGCTATCAAGTGTAATAGTAAAGTTCATTGCAAAATGTGGATACTTTATATTTGTGAAGTGACTTTGTTGACCCCTCTTTGTTGTATCTGCTCCTATCAAACAATAAATCCATAAATAATAAATTGAGCAATTTTTGTATCTTTAGTATGTCCAATAATTTATAATGTTTGTATTCTCCACTAAGTCGCTTACTGCTTTTGTTTTACAGATGCCGGGAAGGCTACCAGGGAATCCGCTGTGACCAGTTCCTCCCCAAGACTGACTCTATTCTCTCAGACCCAAGTAAGAATTACATAAGATAATTGAAGAAAAAATACTGTTTACTGTATACCTGTATTAAAGGGAGTAATTGATACAAAAGATTTGAATGTTAAAGTTAAAGCTGAGTTAAAGCATGACTCACATAGCCTCTGTGAATGTTTGACTTAGACTAGAAGTAGAGTTTGGGACATTACTTCACAAATATTGAGAAACATTACCAATCCAGTATAATCAATGATCTTAATTGTTAATTAATGTTAAAGAAGACAACCGGTGGACCCAAAAATGCAGAAAAAGGATTTATTAACAAAAAATAGGCTTAGGGGGGAAAATGGGTTTCCAGGAGGAGGGCAGGACGGGTCCAGGAAGGTATCAGGCAGGAGGTAGGTGGTGGCTCAGTTTGGCCAGAGGTTAAGAGAATCTGAGGTTAATGTGATGAGGCTGGCTCCACCCAAATGTACTGAAGAAATTACAAGAAAACTGAAAGTATATAAAAATCTTCAACATTCACAAAAATATTCAACATTCACAAAAATAGAGAAAGCCTGAGTATAAGTTCACCACTTGATGACGGAGCAATCTGGTACTGGAGAGAAGGTCAGCAGGTCGGTGAAACTCCTTCAACATGTTGACATCCAGGATCAGGGCACGACCAGCCCACGACCGCTCCTCAGGACTGTAACCCTCCCAGTCGGCTAGGTACTGGAGCCCATGGCCACATCGATGGGCATCCAAGAGTATATGCTGGGTGACCATCAACCAACTGGTGGGCGGAGGGGGCTGGAAGGAGAGCACAGATGAAGTGCACAGGTTTAATTTGAGAAACGTGAAAGGTTGGATGAGCATGTAGAGCTTGTGAAAGTGTAAGACGAACAGAAACAGGATTAATCACCATTTCAACTTCAAGTGGTCCAGTAAATTTCTTGGATTCAGCTTTCAAAGGGATGTGTTTGGAAGATAACCAGACTTTCTGACCTGGAGTGTACTGTGGTGCTGGGCAGTGACATCTGTCAGCCAAGGACTTATTTTGGGATGAAGTTTGTAACAGGGCCTTCCTGGTCTCCTTCCAGATCTCACGACACCTCCGCAAATGGGCTTGGATGGAGGTTACTGCAACTTCAACCTCATCTATGGACAGGAGGGGAGGGTGATAGCCAATGGAGCACTGAAAAGGGGAGAAACCAGTAGCAGAGGAGGTTAATTATGTGCGTACTCTACCCAAGGTAAGCGTGAACTCCAGGATGCAGGGTTGTGATTGGCTACACAACAGAGAGCAGATTCCAGGTGATTGGTAGGGATACCAGGAAGACGGAAAATGTCTGATGTGACCAGAAGGGGGTGTGTGAGATGATTTTTTCTGAGAACATACAGTGCAGGCAGACACAAATCCCCGAGTGTCAGCGTCCATTGTCGGCTACCAAGAATGACGCCTGAGGCTTGACAAGGTATGCTTAACCCCAGGATGGCAAAAAAGGAGTTATGGAACCATTGCACATCTTCAGTGCATACAGCAGATGGGACATATAGTCTTTTGAGTGGTCCACCTCCTGGACTGGGCTCGACCTCCTGCGCCTTCTTGACATTGGCTTTCACCTGCCAACAGAGAGCTCCAAGAACACAATTAGCAGGTAGAATTTCCTCAGGATCAGACTGCTCAGATGGATCAAACTGGCGAGAGAGTGCTTCGGGTTTACATTTTTTGAACCAGGGTGGTATGTGATTGTGAACTTGAACCTCCTGAAGAACAAAGCCCACCTGGCCTGGCGTGAGTTTAGTCTCTTAGCAGACTGGATGTAGGCTAGACTCTTGTGGTCAGTCCATAAAATGAAGGGTTGCTCTGCTCATTCTAGCCAGTGCCACCACTCCTCAAGGGCAAGTTTGACTGCTAGGAGTTCTCTGTTGCCCACATCATAGTTGCACTCAGCAGGGGCTAGCCACCTGGAAAAGAAAGCACATGGGTGGAGTCAAAAATTGGACTCAGAGCACTGGGAGAGTACAGCACCAACTCCCACAGCTGAGGCATCAACCTCAACAATAAACTGCTTGGATGAGTCAGGTTGAATCAGGACTGGAGCAGTTGTGAATAGTCTCTTAAGCTTATTGAAAGCACCATCTGCCTCAGGAGTTCATTGGAATGGAAGCTTTGCAGAGGTTAGACGGGTGAGAGGAAACCCAACCTTACTGTAATCCCAAATTAATCTCCTGTAAAACTTGGCAAAGCCGAGGAACCTTTGCAGTTGGTTTTGAATACAGGGAGGAGGCCATTCAGAGACAGCCTTGATTTTCATTGGGTCTGCTTTAACTTGTCCACTTTCAATTATGAAACTCACATTTCTCACTCTTCACGAACACTTTATTTTCCAGAAGCCTTTGCAGGACTAGGCGGACATGTTGGTGATGTTCCGATAGGTCTCTGGAAAATATTAGAAGATTGTTCACATAGACAAAAACAAAGACATTAAGAAAGTCCTGAAGGACATCATTTACTAGAGCTTGAAACACGGCAGGTGCGTTTGTGAGTCCAGACGTCACGATGTTTTAAAGTGCCCCAAAGGTGTGTTGATTGCTGTCTTCCATTCATCTCCTTCTAATGCGGACAAGATGGTATGCATTACACAAATCCAGTTTTGTGAAAATGGTGGCACATTGCAGTGGTTCAAAGGCAAAAGAGATAAGAGGCAAGGGATATTTGTTCTTCACAGTGACATTGTTCAAACCTCTATAATCAATACATGGTCATAATGTCTGGTCTTTCTTTGCAACAAAGAAGAAACCGGCCCCCACAGGAGATGAAGGTGGACGGAATATACCTGCAGATAAAGAGTCTCTGATGTATGTTTCCATGGCCTCCCTTTCAGGGTGGGAGAAGTTGTGCAGGCAAGTAGGTGGTAGATTAGTTCCAGGAAGAAGGTCTATGGCACAGTCACAGGGCCTGTGTGGTGGTAAGGATAGTGTTGTCTTAACTGAAGACCTCCCCTAGGTGATAGTCCGGTGGAGCTGAGGTTTAATACGGAGTAGACAAAGGTTGATGGGATTTGATCTCTTCTGAAGGAGGGACAGCAGCCTGCAAACAAGACTGGTGACAAAATGAGCTCCAGCTATCTCAATCTCATTAGTCTATTACATGGTTATGAACCTTAAGCCAGGAGTAGCCCAAAACTAAGAGGAGAGGAGCAGAGAAAACAAAGAAACCTGTCTTTTCGTGATGGTTGCCAGACATATGTAAGTGAATGGGAACAGTGTGGTGAGTAATTTTAGCTATAACTGTACCATTCAAAGCATTGACCTGGACAGGTTCTGGAAGAGGCTTGGTGGAGATCCCCGCATGGAGATCCTCCGATTTGAGTCTATGAAGGTTTGCTGCGCCCCAGAGTCCAGCAGTACTTGCAGAGGAAGTGACTGGTTCTTGTGACAGAGGGTTGCCGGTAACAGGAGTCTGGGTTGGTCAGTGGGGATTTTAGAAACCTCACCCATCAGTACCCCCATTACTGGACGGACTGGACATTGATAGAGAAAATGGCCTCCTTCACTGCAGTACAAGCATTCACCAGCTCGGATTCTCCGTGACTGCTCTTGAAGACGCATTTTGGCCCAGCCAATTTGCATAGGAACATCTGGGGGATTGAGAGGGAGGGGGCAGAGCAGAAAAGTTACTGACAGTCTGAATTTGGGCTGTAGATGAGGAGTGAGGCACAGAGGATGTAGTATGAGGTATTCTCTTTCGTTTTCGCTCCCGCAGCCTGTTGTCAAAACGAATAGAGAGAGAGATTCATTCCTCCAGATAGACAGGGTCATCTTGGACAGATAGTTCATCCTTTAGTGTGTCACTTAACCTATGCCAAAAAACTGTTTTTCAAGCAGTTTCTTTCCACCCAGACTCCTCACCCAAGAGCCGGAACAGAATGGAGTAGTCTGTCACTCTTGTTTCCCTGGTGGAGATCTGAAAGCCCCTTAGCTGCATTCACCTCACAATCTGGGTGTGCAAAAATTCTGAACAGGTGAAACTCTCAATGCCTCTGCCACCCAACATAGCTTCAGCCAGTAGAAAATGTGAGACTGGCAGGAGAAGACTGTCATATATTGCAAGAGGAAGCCTTTACTTTTACCCAGGTCCCCATTGTATGGCTCTGAATGTGGAACTGGAGTTTCACCGGGAGGGTGTACAGTGGAGGCACCATCAGAGGCAGCTACAGGGGTTGGTTTACTGGGTTGAGAGAGACGCTGGGCAGAGAGTTGATTAGAAATGTGCTCCACCAACCTGGTTAAGTTTGAGACTTGGCTCCGATATTTAAATTTGATTCTCTCAGAATCTGTAGTGACTTGTGGTGTTGGCCTAGTAGATTTCCTTGGGTGGAAATTATTTTCTCCAGTTCGTTGGGTTCTGCTGGGTAAGAGAGAGGGGAGAGGGAGCAGGAAAGGAGGGGTAGAGCAGGATGAAATCCTCACAATTAAATAACATTCTAAATGTTTGTAAACCTGTACCATGTACTTGTACCATATCACTGACCTATCTATCTGGGTATCTAGAAATAATTGCTATTAGCCAAAACAAATTGTGGTTTATGAATATTTATTCACCAAAACAAGACAGTATTTGAATATGATATATGTGAATGAGTGTGGCTCTAGACTGGTGTTTAAGGATTTGAGATGAGATCATCTTATAAGAGGTTATGTGTTTATGTGAAGAGTGGGATTCAAAACACCAACCTTCGGGTTAGTGGACATACACTCTACCAGCTGAGCTAAAGCTGGGGAAGAACTGTCTCTGTGAGATGGGGAAGAACTGAGGAGAGAAAACAGAACATAACAGGGAGATCTGCGTTAAATTCCCTACCTCTACTAAGTACTATGTCCAGGTACTATGGCCAAGTTGTCTACTGTCAAAAATACATCACCACTTCACAGGCATTATTTATTGAGCAGAAGAAACATCGATTGAGGACTGAAAGAGGACTAAACCAGGACTGATTCCAGGACTGAACCAGGAGAAGGTGACCGCAGGTGAAAGAACTGGCGCAGAGGTCCACGCCCCACAGCCCTAAGTGCAGCAGGACAAAAACTGATGTTAGTGGTTGAATGGGTCTTAGCTTTGTTCTGTCCCTCACACACAGCTTGATGTTTGCCTGCCCAGTAGGCAAACACCAGGGTGGCATGGTGGCATGTTGTAAACATGCCCGTGTCTGTGTGGCGTGACTTCAGTGGGCTTGCTATTGATGGGGAGCAATGGTCCACTTGCAAGGGGCCGTTCATCAGGCAATGCCAACCCTTGAAGCAAAATGGCAATGCCTTGTGCCTTAAACCGTTTATTATGCCACTGTATTAATGCGTTTGATTTAGTTGTAGGGTGATATCTTTTACGATAATGCCAATGTTCAAAATGAGCTGTTTAATCTTTTGTAATAATTTAGAATTACTGACCATCCTGATAAGGTCTGGTGTCCAGTTTTTGGGGGGCTTTTCTGAATGTTACACAGTCGAATAAATATAGTTTCCAACTAGGCAGCTGCAGCGCCTTTTTGTGCTGTCAACTCTTGCATAAACAGCATTATTTTGCCCAGGAAACACTTTGTCCTGATGTCATGAAGAACAAAATTCTGTCTTTATCATGTTGTTCTAGGTTCTGCCACAATCCCACAATAGTGCTAATCTGCTGGTTGGTAAGAGTTAGGTCTTTCTCATTTCTTAGCTTCACCAAATACTCTGTAATCTGGTCAATACAAGCCATTGCAAGCATAATATGCTCATCCATGGCCTAAAAAGAAATACAAACATTAGCCCTCAAGAAGTACTGACAGCAGTCATTGTGCTTCATGAGTATTTAATTATAATTGAAGATTGGCTAATTAATCCAGACTGGACAGCAGACAGGTGAGTGGACTGAGGAGCAAACTGGACCATGGGAGGGTGAGTAGACTGAGGAGCAGGCTGGACAACAGACAAGTGAGTGGACTGAGAAGCAGACTAGACCATGGGTGGGTAAGAGGACTAAGAAGCAGGCTGGACAGACAGGTGAGTCTAACTGTGTCAGCAGCTCTCTTGCCTCCTCAAAATCTGCCGAAATATCCTGAAGTGGCAAATCCAATGAGTTCACCTGGCAATATAAATACAAATCTATTTCAGAAAAATAAAAATAATAATAATAATAATAACATTTAAAATACAAATTAATAAAATAACATTTATGTTGGTGGGCATCAGTGGTACAGCCCACAGCCAGGTGCCACATAAAGTGCCAGATGTCAAGGCAAACAAGTAAGTCAGGGCCTCACCTGAATCTGGCCTTCAGTTTGGTCTCACATTTGTTTGCAGCAGCCACAGTCCACATAGAGAGCAACAGGAGGATGTACACCTTCTGATCAGTACCAGGAGACATCATTTAAAGTTATAGCATTTATATTTATATGCAAATGTAAAGCAGGTTTGGCTCTGTACTGCTGACTTTTAACTTCTCTTCTTGTTCTTGTTTCTGTTGTCCTGTAATTGTTTACTAAGCTCCTTTACGTTGTAACTAATATCTATAGTAACTGACAATACAAACTAGCCTCTGTGCAAATGGAACGCTTTGTAGGCTAGGCGGAGTGACTGCAATAGGTAAGTGATCAGAAGGAGCCATAAGGTAAGCGAATGAAATGCGAACACAAAATAAAGTTGGTAATATGAAAGGATGTATTGTATTATTAGGTTTCTATATTCATTTGCAATAATACTAATATTCTTATAATACACATGATAGCCATGCATGTATTATAAATTGTGATTTATATTATATATTAAATATATATTAAACAGACCAAAAAAAAAAAAAAAAAACTTCAGTTCAATGCAAATGATCCCCTGAGATCAATTCAATTTAAATTCTATTAAAAAAGTTTATTGTCAAATTTCCATATAAACAATTGAAATTATGTTCTCGTTCAATCTTCTAAATTAAATTATAATAAAATAAAAGAAAAAGTCGTCTTCTTTAGGGAGACATGGATTCCTAGCTTCCCGGCTGACTGGTGCTTAGAGAGGGGAGGTAGTTCAGTATTCTAACAGCCCAGTGGATGAAGCTGTTAGTGAGTCTGATGGACTGACTGGAAACTGAGGCTCATGTACTTCCTCCTGGAGGGCAGGAGGCTGAACAAATTCTGAATGGGGTGACTTGCATCAGTTACAATTGTGATGGCTTTGCAGGTGAGGCGGATGATGTATCTTTCTTGCAGGGAGGGAAGTGGTGCACCAATCTTCCTGATCT